GTTCAAGCCATTCCCCTTGGCCTGTCCCTACATCCCTTGCCCAAAGCCCCTCTCCAGGTCTCCTGGAGCCCCTTTAGGCTCTGGAGCTGCTCTAAGGTGTCCCCTTCAGGAGCCTTCTCTTCTCCAGCTGCCCCAGCCCAGCTCTCTCAGCCTGGCTCCAGAGCAGAGCTGCTCCAGCCCTCGCAGCAGCTCCAGGGCCTCCTCTGGCCTCGCTCCAACAGCTCCATGTCCCTCTTGTGCTGTTGCCCCAGGGCTGGAGGAGAAAGACCATGTGTTTGCTCAGTCTCTAACACTGTAATGTGCATACTGTGGTACTTACTTAAAAACTGGCACTGTCTGCTCAGTATAAGACTTACTTACAAAGTCTCTTCCTAGTTAAGGCCCAAAAAAGCTCATGAAATAATACAAATATCTCACCATGATCAAGAAAGTCAAACCACCCCTCCTAGAAGAGAACAAAATCTAATGCAAAAAGTCTTCACACACAGTGGATTGGCAGGACCTGAGTCTCCAGCATTCCCTCGGGATGGCTACAAGTGGAGGTGATTCACCTATTTCACACCATAAAAGTTAAGCAGAAAAATACCACAGCAGTTCTGATGACTGTGGTACCAGCTGCTGTGTCAGAGAATGCAGCTGCAGCTGGAAGAGCAGCTCTGGCTGGTTTAGGTGAGATGCCTCAAATGCAGCTGCACTAACAGAATATTGCTGTCATTAGGAGCTTGCAAGATAAAAGCTTCCCCTTACTTTCCCTCTGCTTTGTATTTGAGCAGATAAAAGGGTTGAAATGATTACTAGAGCAAATAAACAGAAGAAAAACAGAGGATTTTGTGAAGGGTTATTCCTGGGGCTCAGGAAGGTCTTTGCATTCTCATACCAGTCTAAGCCTCTCTCTGCTACTGTTGGGAGAGCTCCAAGTGCCTCAGGCCATTAGTGTCACCTTTGTGCTTTCATTAACAGACTTCATATGCACAGCTCGAGAATTAGGGAGCCTGGTGGGGAAAAAAATACCTACAGGAGAGAACTTGTCTATTAATAGAAGCCCACCAAGAACAGCAGCCAAGAGAACGTTCAAGTTCCAGCAGAATAACCTGCTTGTTGGCACAAGGTTGAAATCCTCAGCTACCCATGACCAGTAAGAATTCCCACATCTTGCTAGCATTCCCACAGCTTGCTAGCAGCAATTTAGGCTGATTTCCTAAAGATCAACATCTGCTGGTGGTTGCAAACTCTTGTGAGAAATCCTCCTGGTGATTTTAAGCATATAAGGACTTTTGAAGGGATATGCATTGTACAACTCAAAAGCATTTTCCTATTCATTGTTAGGATTAAGGCCCAAATTTGATGTTTATTCCCTGTAAACTTTATTTTTTATTCCCTTTTCAGGTTCAATGTAAAATCTTAGTGTTAAATTATGTGATACTCCGGAATTAGCCAACATTCTGACTGAAGTCACCAGCAGGAAGCAAAGTTGTATGTCCTGGGTTTACTTTTTGTTTTGTTTTATCTTAGTTATATGAAGTTTTACCTTCATTTCTGCCACTTGGTTGTACCTATCAGCTATCCTATGGCTGCATTCCAGTAGCCAATAATGTAATTTTGGGCCATTTCCTAATAAAAGTATTCAAAACTTAGTATTTTAATTTACCAAACAGGTGAAAAGTAACCAGAATATGACAGTGTTCAGATTAGATCAGCCTCAAGAATGTAAGGAAATGGTTCAATAATTCAGTTCATTAACAACCCCCTTAGTAAGCACTTGATTTTGTTTCAATCTAATCAACTGCACTTGCATTGTAGCTTATCAGGGCACAAACACCTTGGCATGGAAATCCACACTCTGCTGCCTGGAAGTTGATGCAGTGGAGGGATGTGCCTGTGAGCTGTGTGGTCAAGGAAGGCAGAAGGAGCTGCCAGGAGTCAGCAGGTTGAATGGAAGACCCCCCCTACTTTGACACCCTGTGCAGCCAGGGTGTTGTACTGCTCCACAGCCTTCTCTGTTTGCAACACCAACACATCGATCCCGTTTTTCTTCAGATAGTCCACAGTGGATGCTGGAACCTCAGAAGAGAAAAGGAAATGGGTAAAGCAAGTAAAGCTTACATTGTAAAGCTTAAAAATAAAAGATACTGATGCCATTTATTAGTAGATACATCTAAGTAACTTATAGTAGCCAAACTGATAATATAGAATCCCAGAGTGGTTTGTGTTGGAAAGGACCTTAAATCTCACCCAGTGCCAACCCCCTGCCACGGGCAGGGACACCTTCCACTAGAGCAGGTTGCTCCAAGCCCCTGTGTCCAACCTGGCCTTGAACACTGCCAGGGATGGGGCAGCCACAGCTTCTCTGGGCACCCTGTGCCAGCGCCTCAGCACCCTCCCAGGGAAGAACTTCTGCCTTAGATCCAACCTAAATCTCTTTTGTTTCAGTTTGAACCCATCACCCCTTGTCCTACACTACAGTCCCTGATGAAGATATTTTTAAGACTGATTTAATTCTCTTTTTCTCTTCAATAAGACTACTTCTGTATACACACACCTCCCATCTCTCCTTCGCATAGTTTAAAATAAATGCCAGTATTGAAAGGTTGGACCAGATGATCCTTGAGGTCCTGTCCAACCTGGCATTCTGTGATTAAAATGTAGCCCTTTCTTACCAAAGTAAATAGAACTGGAGCTAAAGGTACGATTAATCTCAATAAGGTGTTACTCACCTCATCAAAACTAAAGAATGGCTTCTCCTGAAGCTCAAACTAGCTACAGAAACTCAGAAGTGCTATCTGCTGGAGTGAGTAATGAAATGACCTCATTAACAAAGTCTTTACAGCAGGCCAGAGTTCATGACCTGTTAGAAGAGGGTGAGTAATGACATTTTAAGAAATTCTCCTCGTTTAAATTCCTCCTGTAGCAGAACATAAACCTGGTTTACTGTTTCACATTGATGCTAACACAGAGGATCTCAAATGATGTTTCTTTCAGGACAAAGGGACTCCAGGGAAGAGCTCAGTGATGCCAATTCAGCAACCTGCATTTTTCTCCTCTTTGTAAAGCATCATAGATTTCTTTTTCCCCCGATCAGAGGGAACACAAACAGTTCTGGTTCACGTTTCTCACAGCACACAGGCCTACCTGCAACGCCTCACTCATGCCACGACCAATCACCACAGTTTTAACACCCTTCTTGACAACTTCTTCAAGGTCAGCTGGTTGCACTCCTGGAGAATGCTAAGAGCCAGGGAGAAAAACAACAGTTTGTATTGACAGCATCAACCAGGTGAGCTCCATCTATTTCTTTTGAAACTGTCCACAGAGTAGCAGCATAAATTAGCAGTGCCAAAACGTACCACAACCCTCTTTTCTTCATACACACAGCAGATAACACTGGTAATTAAAAAAGGTATTTTATATGCAGATGATGGATGATAGTTAATCAACTGATGGCAATATTAAAATACTTTATTAAACAGGTAAAAATAAAAAAAAGATGCATTACATGCTTCTAAAATACATGGAGCTGTTGGAGCGAGGCCAAAGGAGGCCCCGGAGCTGCTGCGAGGGCTGGAGCAGCTCTGCTCTGGAGCCAGGCTCAGAGAGCTGGGCTGGGGCAGCTGGAGAAGAGAAGGCTCCTCAAGGGGACACCTTAGAGCAGCTCCAGTGCCTAAAGGGGCTCCCGGGGACCTGGAGAGGGGCTTTGGACAAGGGATGGAGGGACAGGCCAAGGGGAATGGCTTGACCCTGCCAGAGGGGAGATTGAGATGAGCTCTGAGGCAGAAGCTCTTCCCTGTGAGGGTGCTGAGGCGCTGGCACAGGGGGCCCAGAGAAGCTGTGGCTGCCCCATCCCTGGCAGTGGTCAAGGCCAGGTTGGACACAGGGGCTTGGAGCAACCTGCTCTAGTGGAAGGTGTCCCTGCCCATGGCAGGGGTTGGGACTGGATGACCTTTAAGGTCCCTTCCAACACAAACCACTCTGATTCTGTGATTTTAGTCTAAGAACGAGCATTTTATAAATGTTAAAAGTTAGAGTGAAATCAATAAATTGCAAATTAATGCTGTTTTCAAATGAACAAAATCTTACTGTAATACTGTCTCAAGCCAAACTGTCTTCATTTTAATTACAAAGAGCTCCTCAGATAATTAAAATGATAAAATGATTTCCTTGTTTACTTTGCAAATCTCATTTACCAGTGAGGACTGGAATACATTATCTTCATTTCCCAGTTTCAAGCTCTGCACCATTCTTAATTTGGAGAAAAGAATATTTGAAACCAAACTCCTCAAAGACAAAAAGAGCTTTAGGAGTGTGTTGACTGAAGGTTTTAAAGTACACCCATTTACTACTACTTTAAACACAGGAATCCACAAATACACCTGTAATGTTAATATAAAACTTATATTATGTCCCAGTAATTCTCCTCCTGGATTCAAGTTTTATGTCTCTCTCTGTGGCCAAGAGTAAGATACTGCACAACCTGTGCTAGAATTTAGCCCCTCTTTGGCTGCATTGTTTTTAAATACCACTCCCACCTCCTTTTTTTTTAGTAGGATTCTTATGTTCTTTTAGAGAACTGAGATGAGTTTCACACCTGAAGAAGGTAATGCCATGGTGGACTTCTGGAGAATGTTATTTTAATGCTTTATCCCTTATACTTTCAGAAAATACTCCATACTTCCAATGAATTATGGTCAAAGCACCAGCTTAACAACTGGTTTGATGCCCCATTTGCAAGCTTTGCTCTTTGATGTTCTTGTCTCCTATTCTTTTTCCCCTGCCCAAGTCTTCAGCAGCTGATGCTGCAGCTTCACACAAGGTGTCAGAATTGTCTCCTCAGCCCTACCTCTGCCTCAGCTTGCAGAACAGAGCAAGTGAGACTTCTGAAGCTGAAACACACACAAGAGGTCTTCAAGTTGCAGGTGGGGGAAACTTTCCATGGCAGAGTGCAACTTCAAAGGAATGGATTAAACTTACCCCGCAAGAAAGTCTTTAGCCTGGATGGTATCTGGAATTTCAGCAACAGAGGTGGTTTGCTTTTATGGTTCTCTAAGTTAATAGAGTATCTCATAGAATCAACTAGGTTGGAAAAGACCTTTAGGATCATCATGTTGGAAGGGACCCATAAGGATCATTGAGTCCAACACCCAGCTTCTCACAGGGCTACCTAACACTAAACCATATGACTAAGAGTATTGTCCAGACACTCCTTGAGCACTAACAGGCTTGGGGCCATGACCACTTCCCGGGGAGCCTGTTCCAGTGTCCACCCACCCTCTCATTAAAGAGCCTTTTCCTAAAGGCCAACCCGAACTCCCCCTGATACAGCTTGACTCCATTTCCTTGTGTCCTACTGCTGGTCATCAAAGAGATCAGCACCTCCCTCTTTGCTGCTCTTCTTGAGGAGGCTGAGGACTGTGATTAGGTCACCCATCAGCCTTCTCTTCTCCAAGCTCAACAGCCAAGTGACCTCAGCCACTCCTCCCAAGACTTTCCCTCCGGGCTTTTCAGCATCTTGGTTGCCCTCCTCTGGACACAGTCTAATAGTTTGATGTCCTTCTTACACTGAGGCACCCAAAACCACACACAACACTCGAGGTGGGGCTGCACCAATGCAGCATGGAGTGAGAGAATCAGCTCTCTCAACTGGCTTGCTATGCTGTGCTTGATGCACCCCAGGACACAGCTGGCCAGCCCAAAAGCTGTGTCCTCCTTAGCCCATTCACATCTGATAGCCAGATGAATAGAATGCAGAGGTCACTTCAATCCACAGAGCATTCCCAGACCAAATCTTTGCAAGTACATGTTTGTGACAGAACAGGACGTGCTTTTCCTTTGGGGTTTTTTTTAAAGTAGGCTCAAAACTTGGACAAAAAGAAAGGAATGTTTTACTGCAATTGCAGAGTAATTAGATTGCTGGGGAAGGTTTGTGTCACATAAGTACTCCTGAGACACTGAAGCCATGGAACAAAAGGATTTTCTTTGGTTACACAAGACACACTGATGTGGGGGCTTCCATTTGTTTTGTAGGAAACATGTAACATGATGGAATAAATGTATCCTTGTCGATTGGGCAGCTGGAGGGGGAGAGGCAGGGCAGCAGAATTCCTTGCCTCTTTTGTTCTCCGGCTTCCTACTCTGTTCTCCCATGGTGGCAGGAGTGCAGCCAGCCAGGGAGGCTGCCTTCCATTCCCAAGCGTTAAGGCTGTAAGAACTCTCAGTGCTGTTACAGAACCTTGCAGAGCCAGTTATGTGATGAAAGCATTACATACCAGACAGCAGCCTGACAGCAGAGGACGAAAGGAAGCAATTCATTTCCAGCTGGAGTGTGGGACATGACCAGCACTGCTTTGTTTCCCCAGCTTCAGCTCTACTTACCCCCAGGAAAAGCATGCTCAATGCAAACAGATGCACTATATAGTCTACCATAAAGAAACATGCAGAAAATGCATCTGGTGAATCCTGCTATTTCCAGTGCTGACTGGATTAACTTTGTACAGTTCTGCTTGAGTTGGAGATGAAGTCTGGAAAAGCTTAGCTCTATTCTTATAGTGGTTGCTAGCTATTCATGCTTAAACCACATCACCTAACTCCTCATAGCTGCAAAAGGATAGAACTGACCTAAAGCAGGATACAAGATAAGGCAAAACCTAAATGGGTCCTTGTTACTTCCTCATTATATAAAAAGGATTCCAGAAAACCCAAATAACTAAACTGTTTTGTTTTTCTCCTCCAATTTTAGTTTAACATAGACTCATTTTTCCTGTTTCAGTTGGAGGACTTCTCTAAAGACTTTCATGGACTTAAAGCTTTTAACTATGGACTAAAGCTTTTAACATGAAGATATCCCTTGTGAGAAACTTTAAAAAGAAAGCATGGCCTCCCAAGTGTGATACTTCAAAACCAAAGTATTCACGTGGTTGAAATGAGTATCAAAATGTGATTGAGGTAGGAGCTAGTTGGGAACTTTTCAGCTATCATCTCTGTTCTGCTGCTGCAGTCATAGGTGCATATAAACCAGGAAACCACTGTCAAACAAGCAAGAAAGGACACTCAGCACACAACCCACCCACCTCCAGCCAGTGAGAACTTCATTCTTTTCTAGTCAGACCCTATAGGAATTACATTTTAAAAGGTCCTATGTGCAGCTATCTTTCTGCAAGGTACAGATACCTTTGCATGACAGTACTACCTTTTTCTGGATGTTACAAACTGCATAATGGAACTTTGACAGGTTAGCAAAGCTCTGTGCCCTCAAAGATTATAGATGAAGTTGCAAACCCAAAGGTTCTACCCTTGCGTTGTGTCAACATGAATTCAACAGAGCTGTGGACACAGGTGCTGGGTCTCAGACACGACTGGTATGTAGTCCTTTTGTGCTTTAACTTTTGCTTAGAAAACTTGGAATTCTTTTCCTAGCCAATACAGCTATCCTAGTGCAAGCCCTAATATACGGGGAGAATTACCAATATCCAGTTCCTAACACAATGGATGTTATCCCACATCTAAATCTGGAATGTCAATACTGTTCCATGTACTTTTATACCATTCTGACAGCATTTACAGATAAAGCTTAAAAATTGTGAGGGCCAGCACTTAGTATATGGCTACCAAGAGTGCTTAGCCAGACTGTGAGCTTTTCATGGCAAAACCAGTGTGTATGACACTGCAGCTGCATATTTTTGCTCTGGAATAAGCACAAGGGACCCCAAGGGAAAGGATATAAACTAAATCACATGCACTGTTGTCTTCCACACACACAGGGTCAGGTACTGGTGATTTCTTTTAACTTCACATAAATTTTTTCCTGCCTCACTCAAGACAACTTCTGGTTACACAGTCTGAAAGAGGCCATTGCCAGCAGCTGGCGACAACTGCACTCTTAACCCAACATGGAGTGGTGTTTGAGAGCTCGAAGGGGTGTGAGAGCTGCCTGCTGAGGGGAGCTGGGAGGACAGTTGCTGCACCATCACCTGCAGGACACTGTGCCTGGGGTCCTCCTTGGGCTCTTTGCAGAGTCATGTCTGAAACACACACTCGGTTCTTCCCAGGAAAAGCCTAACAGTTACATAAAAGCAAAAGGCAACTGGCAGAATCTCAGGCTGGAATTTTAACAACAGTTCTTTGGACTAGAGGGTAGTAACAAGCAAGCTTACATTAGTCCCAGTTTCTCGCCAGTCCCAGGTTCGGCTTCCTCCTGGCCAGACTTTGCAGTCCTTGTATGTTGTGGAGCAGCCTTTCACCTTCATCTGACCCCACGAAAGGGAAGCAATTTCAGGGGAAGACATCACAAAGTTGAACCAGAGTCTGGAAAAAGGATATGTTAATGCATAACATCAGGCTAACACATGCAGCATGTTAACATAACCAGAAGACTCTGTGCCTACCTCAAGGAGTTAGGAAGGAAATGCTATTACAGGCTTTATCCACATCATTTTGGGACAACAGAATTGAACTGAGGGTAATTTTGTGCAGGATTTGGGACAAATCATTTTACATGCTAAATCTGTGCAAGTATTGGGTGCTCAGCTTTTAAAACTATCAACAGGGATCAGGTTCCAGAATATCCTCTCACGTAGAACCATGTAAGCACAGACTCATTTGGGTTGGAAGGGACCTGGAAGCTCACCCAGTTCCAACCCCCTGCCACAGGCAGGGACACCCACTAGAGCAGGTTGCTCCAGGCCATCTGGGTTTCAATCTTTTCCCTAAACTGTACAATGAATATAATAATGTCCTAAAATATCTGAGAGACACCGTTTCTTTGGCTGCTTTGCTAATTAAAAGTGGTAAATGAGGTCAAACAAATCCCAATAAACCCAATGGAAAGGCCATGAACAAAACAATGGCACTGCCATATTGCTACAGCAAAGGAGACTTTCCAGCTGCCTTTCCCTTGTCACTCCTGGCAGAGACCAATGCCTCAGGACAGTTAAACAGCCAAATAATACATTTTCTAATGTCTGACCTCAACCTTCATTGTTTCAATTTAAACCCATTTTTCTCTAATCCTTTCTGTTGCTGACAAGAATAGCTTAATCCTTCTCTTTTCCACCATCTTTTGTTTCCTGAGGACTTAACTCTTTGTGTTTTTTCCTTTTAGATGAAATAAACTTCCCTTCAGTCATGTTTTCTAAATTTCTGCTTATTTTCTCCTTCCTTTTCCCCTGGCAGCCAACAACTGGCATGCGTCTTTGATGTGTGTTGCCTAGAACTAGATGGAGTGCTCCAGCTGAGGCCTTATCAGCGCTGCTAAAGACCAACTGCTTTTTGGTATTAAACAGAGTCATTTTGAGATCTCCATCACAGTCACAGCTGGGCACACATCAGACAGGGACTCAAAGCACCAGCTCACCCCACCGCGGAAGCTTATGCCCTCTTCACAGTCCCTCATATCACTGTGAGCTGATTGCTGCTGTGATTCTGCCAGCAGATGACAAGACAGGAGTTGCAGGGTGACACCCTGGAAATGCTTCTCAAGGGGAGAGTCACCTTTCCACCCTTCCGGTTCAAAAGGAAGGTGGTCTCAATTCCACATTACGATGAAAACTGGTTATTTCTGCAGTAAAAAAAGATCTGTTTCTGAATGATCCAGAAATTCTCCCTGGCTGATGTTTCCAGACATGGTTTCTCATCTTTTACTTTTTAATCATTGATATTCACATGGGAAAGAAACCAGGAATCAATCACAGAAACCCTGGTGGCAGAGATTAAAGAGCCCTCGCAAAACAGAAACCTTTGGCTTACCAGGGTTCCAGACCTCCTGGAAGCCTCCTTTTTCCTGTCTTGAACATGCTACAGCAAATCACAGCACAGCCACACAGGGGACACGCTCTCCTCAGATTGCCAGGAGAGGGTCTCAGTATCCCACTTCACATGACATAAAAGCACATTAGTTTGGATTCAGCACAAGAGTAAGTCTGCCAGAGATGATGCTTACACAGAATAGCTGCAGAGAAGAGATAGGATCCAGAGGGACATGGACTGGCTGGAAAGACAGGACTGTGTGAACCTCACGGAGTTCAACAAGGCCAAGTGCAAGGTCCTGACCCTGCATCAAGGCCAGGTTGGACACAGGGGCTTGGAGCAATCTGCTCTAGTGGAAGGTGTCCCTGCCCATGGCAGGGGTTGGAGCTGGAGGAGCTTTAAGGTCCCTTCCAACACAAACCAGGCTGGGATTCTTCCATCCCCTGCCAAACAGGCAAGCAGCCATGAGGGAGTGAAACTTGCTTGGATTCATGTATTCTGGCTTCCCTCACTGCACATCCACAATGCAATGGATTTAAACAAAGGTCTGTAAGACTTTTTTCCAAAAATCTGCTTGAAGGGAGATTATAGCAGAGAATAACCAGCTGCAATCAACCATCAACCAGAGTAAAGGTTGAATAAACTGCCCACAGCATGGCTCTGAAGAATGAAAATAACCTTTGCCTGCGCTGCTTTTGAGAGGGAACAGCAGAGTTAGACCTGGAGATTTGACATTGGTGAATGAACAGAAAAGCAACTAGAAATGTCAGCTTTCCCAATCCAAACGGTATCACAAGGCTGGAACTGCACAACCAAACACGCACGAATTGCAAACAGGAGAACAAGGTTTCACAGAATCCCAGCCTGGTTTGTGTTGGAAGAGACCTTAAAGCTCCTCCAGTTCCAACCCCCTGCCACGGGCAGGGACACCTTCCACTAGAGCAGGTTGCTCCAAGCCCCTGTGTCCAACCTGGCCTTGAACACTGCCAGGGATGGGGCAGCCACAGCTTCTCTGGGCACCCTGTGCCAGCGCCTCAGCACCCTCACAGGGAAGAGCTTCTGCCTAATCCATATTGTCTTTTCCAAACAGCACAAAAATAAGTAAATAGCAGAAACAGAGAAACAAAACCTAAAGCCTTAAATAAAAATTGTAATCTCAACTTATTTGCTATAATAGTGCAGAGAATATCAGTAACATGATCCAACCCTAACTAGTCTATGATTTTATGATTTGAATTAACTAGAGTATCTTGAATTGGAGTAAGAATGAACTTTTTATCTAGAACTTTGGGTATTCTGGACACAGAGCATGGTCCTGACATCAGCAAGAAGAAGGAAAGTGCTTCCCCAACAAATGATTTGGCTTTCTTAATTACTATGACAAATGTACAGCACCAAAACACGCACTACCACTTCAGATCAAAAGAGGCCACGAACTCTGTGACTCACAAGTATAAGCTAAAATAGCAATTTCTGTAAGCTGCACTAGTCCAAACACAAAGAGATGACGAGGAGGAAGGATTCAGGAAGCTGTAAGTAAAGCTGTAAGAGTTTAAATCACAGGAAATAAAGGAAGGAAAACTTAAAAGGAGGCAAAATACAAGTTTATGCAACGAGATTATACTGAAAGAAAGAAATGAAGCAGTGGCTGAAGAGAAAAACAGCTGAGAATGAAACAGAAACTTGAGATGAAGTGCAGTCGAGCAAGCAGGTGGATTTTAAAGTTGCCAACACACCCGTCTTTAGCGAGGGTAAATGTTGTTTCAAAGTGGCTCCCACCAGCAACAAATCAAGTATAAAAGGTGAACAACAGCAGCACACCAGGGGTTTTTACTGAGATACCGCAGAGGGAAGGAATGCTTCATAAAATCCAAGAGCAAGCTGAGATCAAAGAGCACAAAGGTGAAAGAGTAAGTCAGTATATGGCCAGTTTCAGACAGAACAACTGTAATGAATCCAAGACAACGTTAATTCCTCAGGGTCAGCAGGTGAAGGTGGGCAACTTCTCCTCAGCCATTTCAGGAGCAGTATAGCCGCTGCAGGAGCGGGTCGGGACTTTGTAACTGACAGCAGAACGGCAAGGAGAAAAGAGAAGTGAAGTTTAAACTGGGTAGGGAGGAGGTGAATACGAAGTTTAAGAACTAGGAGAACATTTTGCAGGAGCTCGGTAACCTAACGCTGCTGAGGAGCCGGGTGAAGGGGAGATCGCAGAGCATGGGGTGGCGGGAAGGGAAGAGAGCAGGATTTCACGAACTGGGCGGGAGGGGAAGAAAGGGGAAAAAAGCAGAGAACAGAGAGAAGTATCGGGGGGTGAGGAGGGCACAACCGCAAGCACGGAAGGGGTTGCCGGTGGCGAGCGGCACGGCTTTCAGACATCCCCAGCACACCACGAAACGAGGCCCCACCGCCCCAGCCCTCTCGCTAACAGCGAGCGGCTCCACAGCGCCGGCGGGAGCAGGAGACGAGCCGCCCCTA